ATATTTATTTGTTTTGAAAGGTGTCATATGTCTCGATATATTTATGACTCGTGTCTAATGTCTCGATAATTTTGACCAGTGTCAATATGTCTCGATATATTTATGAAAGGTGTCATATGTCTCGATATATTTATGACAGGTGTCATATGTCTCGATATATTTATGAAAGGTGTCATATGTCTCGATATATTTATGACAGGTGTCATATGTCTCGATATATTTATGACAGGTGTCATATGTCTCGATATATTTATGACAGGTGTCATATGTCTCGATATATTTATGACAGGTGTCATATGTCTCGATATATTTATGACAGGTGTCATATGTCTCGATATATTTATGACAGGTGTCATATGTCTCGATATATTTATGACAGGTGTCATATGTCTCGATATATTTATGACAGGTGTCATATGTCTCGATATATTTATGACAGGTGTCATATGTCTCGATATATTTATGACAGGTGTCATATGTCTCGATATATTTATGACAGGTGTCATATGTCTCGATATATTTATGACAGGTGTGTCATAGGTGTCATATGTCTCGATATATTTATGACAGGTGTCATATGTCTCGATATATTTATGACAGGTGTCATATGTCTCGATATATTTATGACAGGTGTCATATGTCTCGATATATTTATGACAGGTGTCATATGTCTCGATATATTTATGACAGGTGTCATATGTCTCGATATATTTATGACAGGTGTCATATGTCTCGATATATTTATGACAGGTGTCATATGTCTCGATATATTTATGACAGGTGTCATATGTCTCGATATATTTATGACAGGTGTCATATGTCTCGATATATTTATGACAGGTGTCATATGTCTCGATATATTTATGACAGGTGTCATATGTCTCGATATATTTATGACAGGTGTCATATGTCTCGATATATTTATGACAGGTGTCATATGTCTCGATATATTTATGACAGGTGTCATATGTCTCGATATATTTATGACAGGTGTCATATGTCTCGATATATTTATGACAGGTGTCATATGTCTCGATATATTTATGACAGGTGTCATATGTCTCGATATATTTATGACAGGTGTCATATGTCTCGATATATTTATGACAGGTGTCATATGTCTCGATATATTTATGACAGGTGTCATATGTCTCGATATATTTATGACAGGTTGTCACGTCTCGATATATTGATATATTTGTTCTGATAGGTGACATATATCACATAAACGTCAGCTCTAAGTATGTGCAATATAGTAGTATATCTGCTTTGACTGGAGTCATATATCGTAAGAGATTAATTTCTGGTATGCGCGACATACGTACGTTTTCTTATATTCATATACTGTATATCGTGCTCTTAAATTCTCGAACATTTAGTAGTAGAAAATCGCTTGTGTGTGTGTGTGTGTGTGTGTGTGTGTGTGTGTGTGTGTGTGTGTGTGTGTGTGTGTGTGTGTGTGTGTGTGTGTGTATGTGTTGTGTGTGTGTGTGTGTGTGTGTGTGTGTGTGTATTTTACTCTTTGTATTTTACTTGTTCATATCTTTAAATATCAGTTCCAGGAAATTGATAATCCCAAACAGCATTAACCAGTTCATTATTTGGTCGCACCTGCGTGCATAAGGAGCAGTCCTGAAGCCACATACTATTGATGGCATTATACAACAAAATAATAATAAAACACCCTTCGCCACTCTCAACATAAAGGCCACACGACACACAAAACTATTTAATAATCCATTTGTGACATCAGGATGTCTTTGGGTCATTGATGCGATAAAGGGACATCCGTGGCCGGGGTTTCCTGCCCTTGTGGGCGACGTCAGTGCTGTCATCGGAAGTACCAGGTTACGAACGGTGTAACCCCCACACAAAAGTGACTTACTTGAGCGAGTGTGTATCAGTGTGAGTTACAAAGGGACACACAGACGGGGTCCCACTAAACGCTCTCCTTGTCTGTCCCACAGACGGGGTCCCACTGAACGCTCTCCTTGTCTGTCCCACAGACGGGGTCGCACTGAACGCTCTCCTTGTCTGTCTCACAGACGGGAATATAACAGGTATAAGCAAGAAACGATTGTATGAGACAGGGCGCTCGAGGCTGACCATCACACCACAATGGTTCTCCGCGATAACAACCTGCCGAAACTATGCTTCGACAATCCTTTGTACAACACGGAGGGCGGCGCCTCGAGGTCCGGTCCCTCTCCCAAGGCCGAGCTGAAGGTGTCGAAGAGCGTCAGCGTCGTTAGCGCCAAACCAACTGACCATCCCGGGGCCAAAAAGCGCGCCTCGAATATGAGCCACGCGGAATTCCAGTCGTTCTTCATCAAGGATCCGTCGACGCCTTGCAAGCAGAGTCCGCAGATCTTCATGCCGGCGGCCACACTCACGCCGGACTGCGACGTCGAGGAGCACATCATTGAGAACATCAGGAATCGCGACTTTTGGTCCAGGAGATCGCGGAATAACCCTTTCACGCGGCTTCGAACCTCCGAGGTTCGGCTCTCGAAGCGCACTTCCTCGCCTGCGCATCTTTTGGTGCCCGGCCAGTGCTTGGAGGCGGAGGAGGAGCTGCAGCTGCCCTCTCCCTCGACCATCTCGGCCGCAGATGAGGACGAGGAAGCCATCGCCTCGGAGATGATGCTGGAGTCTCAGAAGGAGACCAGACTACGACATAACATCACCTGGATGAGAGACTACCTGTCCCAGGTGTCTGAGGCTGACGGAGGCACGTTCTCCCTCCTCCCTTTCATCGCCGCCATGCGTAACAAGGTGAGTACCTCACGCTCCTTTCACAAATCCCTATGCCTCTTTGTTCTGTTTACTTAGTGTTAAAGACCTTTTTCTATGCCGCAAGAAATATAAAAATTACACCCGGGTCCTAAAAGTTTATGAGTCACTTTTCCACTCGTTCGAGCAGGGGAAAATCCGCATCTTGGGTGTGGGATTATGATTGACATTTTACCGGATGTTCCGCTGGGTGAGCGCCCATTAACGCTCCAAACACGCGAATGATGTGGTTTGGGCCGCGTCACGTCTGTGAACATCTCATCTTGGCTCCGGGATGCTGCCGCCGCACGGGGCTGATGCTCTGATGTTTGAAAGGTGTGTGTGTGTGTATGCGCGCGCTAGTCTGTATGTTTCTGTATCTCTCGTCTCATCAGACTCTGAAAATGTCCCGTATTTGCCATACAAGTTGCACGGCAGAACGGAAGCTTGCAGCTACCATGTTGACATAACTTTGCTTCTGTACGGACAGACAAATACATGACTCAGTTGGGAAGTTCTTTGTGTGTTTGACAATGCTTCGACGCGGGTTAAAAATGGCTGACACGCTCTGACAAACAATGTGTTTAAAAAAGGGGGGTTGCTCTCTTATTGATTAGAGAAAATAAACTGCTTTTGTTTTTTGCTTGTTTATCCCTAAAAAAAAGAAACTGCTTTTGTTGAATACATATATGTACGTAGAGAATATATATATATATATATATATATATATATATATATATATATATATATATATATATATATATATATATATATATATATATATATATATATATATATATATATATATACTGGGCCCCTCTGACGCGGCAGCAGGCCTATATACAAAGGGGACAATTGCATCTTCCACTTAAGAGAAATAAGATTATTTGTATAAGATATTAAATATTAAATAAGATAACACCAGGATACGTTAGGTTGGGCTCTGCTTGGGGTCTTGAAGTTAATGCTAAGTTAGAGAAGGTTAGACTAAGAATATGATACATGGTTTAGGATTGGATATCACAATAGGACACTAGATGATGGTATCCTATGTTAACTAAGAATAGCATACATTATTAAATTAAGTGAGAATATGGTTAGGATTGACTGGGTCAGCAAATACCACACTTGCATTAATATCTACAAGTGTTTACAATAAGAAATATATAGTATTAACTTTTAGTTGTCTGGTCCTTGTTAGGCATCATTTGGACTATGTAGTTACGTTTTGGTCTCTACTGTAACATGAACACAAATTCCCTCCAACGCGACAAAGTTAATCCCAGAAATTAGAAACCTCCCATACGAAGAGGTTATCTATCTTGAGATGATTTCGGGGCTTTAGTGTCCCTGCGGCCCGGTCCTCGACCAGGCCTCCACCCCCAGGAAGCAGCCCGTGACAGCTGACTAACACCCAGGTACCTATTTTACTGCTAGGTAACAGGGGCATAGGGTGAAAGAAACTTTGCCCATTGTTTCTCGCCGGCGCCTGGGATCGAACCCAGGACCACAGGATCACAAGTCCAGTGTGCTGTCCGCTCGGCCGACCGGCTCCCCCGCTCGGCCGACCGGCTCCCCGGTCGAGAAAGCAAGTAAAAGTACAGTCACTAGAAAGGGTGAGATGAAGGGAATAAATAAATCAAAGGGTTATGACAAGAAGGAAAAGATTAAGGTGCTAAATATATTTATACAAAATAGGATACAACACAATGGATATAAATTTGAGAAGTTTGTATTCAGGAAAGACCTGGGTAAATATTGGTTTGGCAATCGCTTGATTGTTTCAAGCGTAGGCAAGACGTGTATGTAAATGAGTTTGGGTTGATATAAATAGCAGCTGCCTCGGATAGAGCCTTCATCAGTGTTCCCAGATCCTCTCATTAGCCCTCATGAACACCTCTTAACACATCATCACCACCACTCATAACACCACTCAACACCTCATCACCACCATTCATAACACCACTCAACACCTCATCACCACCACTCATAACACCACTCAACACCTCATCACCACCATTCATAACACCACTCAACACCTCATCACCACCATTCATAACACCACTCAACACCTCATCACCACCATTCATAACACCATTCAACACCTCATCACCACCACTCATAACACCACTCAACACCTCATCATCACCACTCATAACACCACTCAACACCTCATCACCACCATTCATAACACCACTCAACACCTCATCACCACCACTCATAACACCACTCAACACCTCATCACCACCACTCATAACACCACTCAACACCACTCATAACACCACTCAACACCTCATCACCACCACTCATAACACCACTCAACACATCATCACCACCACTCATAACAACCACTCAACACCTCATCATCACCACTCATAACACCACTCAACACTCATCATCACCATTCATACACCACTCAACACCTCATCATCACCACTCATAACACCACTCAACACCTCATCACCACCACTCATAACACCACTCAACACCTCATCACCACCATTCATAACACCACTCAACACCTCATCATCACCACTCATAACACCACTCAACACCTCATCATCACCACTCATAACACCACTCAACACCTCATCACCACCACTCATAACACCACTCAACACCTCATCATCACCACTCATAACACCACTCAACACCTCATCATCACCACTCATAACACCACTCAACACCTCATCATCACCACTCATAACACCACTCAACACTCTCATCACCACCACTCATAACACCACTCAACACATCATCACCACCACTCAACACTCATAACACCACTCAACACCTCATCATCACCACTCATAACACCACTCAACACCTCATCATCACCATTCATAACACCACTCAACACCTCATCATCACCACTCATAACACCACTCAACACCTCCTCATCATCACCACTCATCAACACCACTCTAACACCACAACCTCATCACACCACTCATAACACCACTCAACACCTCATCACCACCACTCATAACACCACTCAACACTCTCATCATCACCACTCATAACACCACTCAACACCTCATCATCACCACTCATAACACCACTCAACACCTCATCATCACCACTCATAACACCACTCAACACCTCATCATCACCACTCATAACACCACTCAACACCTCATCACCACCACTCATAACACCACTCAACACCTCATCATCACCACTCATAACACCACTCAACACCTCATCATCACCACTCATAACACCACTCAACACCTCAGCAACACCACTCATAACACCACTCAACACTCATCATCACCACTCATAACACCACTCAACACCTCATCATCACCACTCATAACACCACTCAACACCTCATCATCACCACTCATAACACCACTCAACACCTCATCATCACCACTCATAACACCACTCAACACCTCATCACCACCACTCATAACACCACTCAACACATCATCACCACCACTCATAACACCACTCAACACCTCATCATCACCACTCATAACACCACTCAACACCTCATCATCACCATTCATAACACCACTCAACACCTCATCATCACCACTCATAACACCACTCAACACCTCATCACCACCACTCATAACACCACTCAACACCTCATCACCACCATTCATAACACCACTCAACACCTCATCATCATCACTCAACACCTCATCCACTCATAACACCACTCAACACCTCATCATCACCACTCATAACACCACTCAACACCTCATCACCACCATTCATAACACCACTCAACACCTCATCACCACCACTCATAACACCACTCAACACCTCATCACCACCACTCATAACACCACTCAACACCTCATCACCACCACTCATAACACCACTCAACATCATCACCACCACTCATAACACCACTCAACACCTCATCACCACCACTCATAACACCACTCAACACCTCATCACCACCACTCATAACACCACTCAACACCTCATCACCACCACTCATAACACCACTCAACACCTCATCACCACCACTCATAACACCACTCAACACCTCATCACCACCACTCATAACACCACTCAACACCTCATCACCACCACTCATAACACCACTCAACACCTCATCACCACCACTCATAACACCACTCAACACCTCATCACCACCACTCATAACACCACTCAACACACCATCATCACCACCACTCATAACACCACTCAACACCTCATCACCACCACTCATAACACCACTCAACACATCATCACCACCACTCATAACACCACTCAACCACATCATCACCACCACTCATAACACCACTCAACACATCATCACCACCACTCATAACACCACTCAACACATCATCACCACCACTCATAACACCACTCAACACATCATCACCACCACTCATAACACCACTCAACACCTCATCACCACCACTCATAACACCACTCATCACACCACTCATCACCACCACATCATCAACACCACTCAACACATCATCACCACCACTCATAACACCACTCAACACATCATCACCACCACTCATAACACCACTCAACACCTCATCACCACCACTCATAACACCACTCAACACATCATCACCACCACTCATAACACCACTCAACACATCATCACCACCACTCATAACACCACTCAACACATCATCACCACCACTCAGAACACCACTCAACACACCTCATCACCACCACTCATAACACCACTCAACACATCATCACCACCACTCATAACACCACTCAACACATCATCACCACCACTCATAACACCACTCATAACACCTCATCACCACCACTCATAACACATCATCACCACCACTCATAACACCACTCATAACACATCATCACCACCACTCATAACACCACTCATAACACCTCATCACCACCACTCATAACACCACTCAACACCTCATCACCACCACTCATAACACCACTCAACACCTCATGACCACCACTCATAACACCACTCAACACCTCATCACCACCACTCATAACACCACTCAACACCTCATCACCACCACTCATAACACCACTCAACA